CACACACACACACACACACACACAGGGACAACCACCCAATGAGTGCTCTGTTCATTTTGTATTATACAGGAAAAGGGGTCAGATATCAGAATAACAAAAAAACATACATAAACATTATCCGTATATGAGTAAAGGTGTCATAATATGACTATGCTCACCAACAAATATGCCCCTCTAGGCAAAAAAAAAAAAAACAAGAACCATTCATTTATGCTTTGTACAACTTACATAGATATACACACAACATTGTCATTGTCTACCACATATGACATATGAAATGTGAGAAATTGCCTTTTTGTTCGCATGCTTACAGGCAAAAGAAGAAACAGCTATCCAGCAGACTTCTCTTGAGGGTGCCCTCTCCTCTCTCTCTCTCTCTCTCTCTCTCTCTCCCCATAGCACCAACACCTCCCCTGATCTCTACTGCTATTCTTATGCGCTTGTCAATCGAGCGGGCATGATCGATCACACCATGACGCGGTGAAGAGGAGTGACCCGACAACAAAGTGAAGCAACACAACTTACACAACCTGCTTCTGAAACCACCGCCAAATGCTCACGATGTCGCTGCTGCCACGTGTCGCCCTCTGATTTGAATTATTATGTTATGATTTGATGAACCGAATACCAACATTTCCTTTGATTTCAATATGTATTCTCTCTCTCTCTCTCTCTCACACACACACACACACACACAGAGGGACAACCACCCAACGAGCGCTCTGTTCATTTTGTATTATACAGGAAAACGGGTCAGACATCGAAATGACACACAAACACACATAAACATTATCTGTATATGAATAAAGGTGTCATAATATGACTATGCTCACCAACAAATATGCCCCTCTAGGCAAAAAAGAAAGAAAGAAGACCATTCATTTATGCTTTGTACAACTTACATAGATATACTCACAACATTCTCATTATCTTCCACATATGACATATGAAATCTGGCAAATTGCCTTTTTGTTCGCATGCTTACAGGCAAAAGAAGAAACAGCTATCCAACAGACTTCAAACAATCAACACATAAAGCAAGCACAGGTAAAATAATTTGTTTATTTTGGATTACGCAATTGAATGAAAACCTATTAAACAGCTGATGGAAGTAACACATTGAGCTATGCCCTATTATAAAAACGTATTTTCAGCGCAATTAGGCGATGAAAACCCTAAGTGAAAGACCTAAATGAAAGCAATTAGGCGATGAAAGATCAAAGCACAAGCAATTAGGCGATGAAATCCCTAAGTGAAAGACCTAAATAAAAGCTATAACAAAAAAATTGATGCCCTAAGTACAGGTCTTGCGTGATTGTAATTGATGTTGACTTCAAGCCTTGAGCTAAGGCTATAATTGGACCTTCACATTGAAGCCCTAAGTGAAGGCTATAAGTGAAACATGCAATACACAAGAAATTAATCAATGAAATCGCTAAGATACTAAATGAACAAGTTGAGTAAAGCTCCTAAGTGAAGGCTATTTAAAACAAAAAGACAACGACCCTAAGCGAAGGCCCTAATGATCCTAACCGATGTTCACTAAAAACCCTAAGTGAAGGTTATTAATTCTCATCGATGTTGACTATTTTACATATATTAGAGTCTCGTTAGATACTCCTTAAGGATTCATAAATTCTTTAGGATGAGTTCTAAAAGAATTTTAGGATTTGCTGGTAAGTGAAGGTTATAATTGCACATTGAAATCCCCTAAGTGAAGGCTATAATCGAAATATGGAATACACAAGCAATTAAGCAATTAAAGCGCTAAGATACTAAGCAAACATCCGTGCCCAAAGCCCCTTAAAGACTTATGCCAAGACTATAACTAAAAGACAAAGACTATAAGTGAATGAAGACCTTATTGATTCTAACTAATGTTGACTAAAAGCGCTTAGTGAAGGCTATAATTGCACACACAAGACACAAGGAATTGGAATATGAAAACTATAACACACTAACCAAACATCCCACCCAAAGCCGCTCCTTTCTTCACAAAAGCTCATTTTCAACAAAGGCCCTAAGCGAAGACCCTAATGATTCTAACCGATGCTCACTAAAAGCCCTAAGTGAAGGCTATTGATTCTCATCGATGTTGACTTAAAGCCCTAAGTGAAGGCTATAATTGCAAATTCAAGCCCTAAGTGAGACTATAATTGCATATTCAAGCCCTAAGTGAAGGCTATAATTGCGCATTGAAGCCCTAACTGAAGGCTATAATTGAAACATGCAATACACAAAGCAATTAAGCAATGAAAGCGCTAAGATACTAAGCAAACATTTGTGCCCAAAACCCCTTAAAGACCTATGTCAATCTATAACTAAAAGACAAAGGCCCCAAGTGAAGGTCTTATTGATTCTAACCAATGTTAACTAAAAACCCTAAGAGAAGGCTATAATTGCACAAATAAGACACAAGGAATTTGGATATGAAAGCCCTAACACACTACCCAAACATGTCACCCAAAGCCCTTAAGTGAAGGCCCTATGCAAAGGTTGTAACTAAAAGGTCAAAGCACAAACTGAAGGGCGTAAGCAAAAACCTGTGATCTCTCTCTCTCTCTCTCTCTCTTCCCCGCGATCTTTCTCTTTCCCCGCTGTCTCTCTCTCTCCCTCTCTCTCTTTCATACGACATGTTAAAAAAAAAAAAAAAAAACTAACAATTACATTCATTTCAAATTTGTACAATTTAGACAAAAAATAAACACTTGATTAAATAACTATTTTTATTCAGTAATTGTTTAATATACTAAAATCAAACATATACCCGAACAAGTGGTCATCCCTCACCACATAGAGATGCCTCATCTTCTGAGCTTTAGCGCTTGCATCTCTATCCCTCATTTCACAGGATAGGAATAGACCCAACTCAAGGTAGATCCCATCATACTCCTCCGCTCAAAAAACCTCTTTAATCTCCCCTTCCTCGAACTCATCGTTCTGGCTTTCACACCTAATTCAGATAAACATTGTGGGGAAACTAGGTAGGACATACGGTAAAGATCTCACTGAGGTAGAGCGCTGAATATGCGAGTGCTTTGTTTTTCTCCTACAGGAAGTTGAAAAGAGACGTCTGTCAAGATGCCGGAGTACAGTGGCTTAGTGGATGGCACGGGAAAGGTCTTGATACTTAAGGACCTTATTGCAGCTATCGAGAGGCATGAGAAAACGTTGAGCAATGTCCCAAAGGTCGACACCTTCCATTTCAGTGGAGAGAGGGTCTCAGATTGGCTGGATCTGGTGGAGCAAGCGTTAGTGGGGCTATCGGATGCAATAAAGTTCCAGCGCATCTTGAAGTACGTGCTCCATGGCCATCATCAAGAGGTAAAAAAAGTCATAAATGCATCCAATGGCAGCTGGGCAAGGTTTAAAGATGGCATGCAGCGCAAGTATCGGTTGGGCGATGGGTTGCTGACCACTGCAGACCTTGAGGCCATGAACAAGGACGATTTCACTACAATAGGGACGTTTGTGCAATAATTTAAGAAAAGAGCGAGAAAAGTTCATGGAATCTCAGAAGAGGCGCAATGTGCCATCTTTTCAGGGTTGCTTACCGCATCAGAGGCCTCCAAATTGACGAGCCATGGAGGGGGGAGTGCAAAGCTTACCTGGGCCACTATTGATAAGGGAGTAGAAGATGGGAGTCTGGACCAGGTAGAGTAGCATCAGATGCGCTTGCAGAGGAGGAAGAGAAAGGAAAGGGACACCACTGCGTCTGGAACCCCAGGGGTAAAAACGATTGTTACTGACGTGCTTGCGGAGTTGGGCTATGGCAAGGATACCGAGGTGCATAAAAAGGTGGTGACCGTAGTCAAAAGTCGGGGAAAGGAGGTAGGGGAAGAAGAAACCAGTCAGGAGGACTACGGTGAGGAGGAGGCGGGATCCCAAGTTCTCACAAAAGCCCAACGTAAGCAGCGCAACTTGCTGCTAGGAGGTCAAGGCTCTGGGAAGGGACAGATCCCGCAGACAATCGCTGAGACGCCAGCCGCCACCATAACTGCACATGTGTCGGTAGGGCCCTCGCAAATGGGGCCGCCACCAGCATATGGACCTTGGGTGCCTTATTGTCAACTGGCACCCTGACCTAGATATAATCACTGCAGCTCGTGTGGAGGAGGCCAAGCTCCCCCAGGACAGATGGTGCCATATTGGGGCCTACCGGCAAGTGCAGGGCCACCAAGTTTCCCGGCGACCCAAGTCCAGTTCACGGCCCAGCCTCCCACCTCGCAGCAAGCTTCGCAGGCTAGCGTGGCGGGAGGAGGAGGTCAAGGGCAAGGAGGGCAAGGCAATGGTGGTCGAAGACAAGGAGGTCGAGGGGGTGGCGACCGAGGAAGGAACGGCGGGGGACGTGGTGGCGACCGAGGAAGGAACGGCGGGGGACGTGGTGGCGGATGGAATGGCCAAGGAGGGCAAAATCAAGGCGGCCAAGGTGGTCAGGAAGGAAGCCAAGGGTATGGGAGGCCCCACTTCGATTGGCGGAATGCCATTTGCCGACATTGTGGCAATGTGGGCCATACTATACGATTTCGCCAGGAACGGCGGGACGATGAGCTCTCTGGTCTGATATCCACAAACATGGATGGGGATATATATGATAAATTTGGGCAGTATATTGACCCGAAGATTCAAGGTGGAGTTAGACAGGATGCCCTTAGGCGAGTGGCGGCAGGGCCGGCGCCTCCGGCAATGTTCAGATTATGGCAGGAAAGGGAGGACCCGCCCGTGAGGGTCGAAGAGGTTATAGGGGAGAATGAGGAGGTAACCCAACGATTGAAGGTTGTGACTATAAAGGAAGAGCCAACAATCGTTGAGTCAGACGACGAGGACTCAAGGGAGGTGGAAGAGTCGGGCTTGACGATTCTGGAGAAAATGGAGGACCTGCCGCGGAAGGTGGGGAGGTACTAGCAAAAGCTGAAGGAATTGTGTGATAAGGTTCAGGAATGGAAGACCGACCTTCCAAGAGTCTTCCTATATGAGTCGGGGTCCGGATCAGCGTCAGGACAGCAAGGCTATCCTGGGGTCGCGACGGTAGGGTTGGGCCCTAGGTCAGCGCATGGGCGGGCACCCCAGGCGGCGCAAACTAAGAGCCAAAGTAAGGCACGTACTGGTCAAGCGCCGAGTTAGGCACCTCCTCGGAAGGGACCCGAACCCGAGCGTAAGAAAGAAGTGGTAGAGGTCCCGGAAGAGGAAGAGGAAGAGGATGATGATACTGAGGACGAGAGGCTTCGTCAGGAGGAAGATCGGCGAGCGGAGTTAAGGGTCAGGAAGAGAGGGGTTCAGGAAGAAGCCGAGCCAAGCCAACACGACAGCGTACCAAAAAGGAAGAAGTATGCGGTTCGGCTGGAAGAAGGCTTCGATGTGGAGAGAATGGTGGACCGGCTTCTAGAAGGTCATAATGACCTTATGAACTTGAAGGATATTTTAGCATTCGCCCCGAGACTCCGAGATGGTTTGAAAGGACGACTATCTCGGAGATTGGTGCCCAACGTCCATCTAAGTGCGATCCTACCGAGGGAGGTAGGATGGATAGAAGTTGGAACTAGGATGGACTGGAAGTGTGCGGCATGCGGGTTGGTGGATTTAGTGGTGAAGGAGGAAGTGTGTTGCAATGATGGATACAGGCGCCGAGATGAACATCATCAGGGAGAGAGATGCCCTCATGCTCGGATTAGAGATTGACCGTGCGGACCATGGCATACTACATGGAGCTAATTGCAAGGCAGTTTTTTGTGGCACGACATCCAACGTGATTATAGAAATTGGTAAGGTGCGGGCGAGGACTTGCTTCTTCGTCATGCCAGACATTGACCACCCTATCCTCCTGGGAAGATCGTTCATGTGCCAGACGGAGACTTTGATCTTCAATAAGCACGATGGAACGATGATACTGCTCATGAGCGATTCGGCTTGTGGGAACTATGAAGTTATCACCTGCAGAAACACGGGCCCCGGGAGCGAGAGGAATAGGCTTAATCCCGACTCACTCACCTTCGTAGAATCGGAGAATGAGCGGTGGAGGCTTTGGGAAGGGTCCGAGGAGGAAGGAAGAGCAGAGGTGTTGTCGCAGAGCCTCACAGATGTAAACAAGGCTATGAAAATAGTGGCGGCACATGAGATGGCGGATTCCGAGGCGATCAAAGCGCTGAGAGAGCAAGTCTTGGAATGCCCGTAGGTGGCGGAAGTGGAGCTAATCTATCGGCTTCCCGGGGGAAGAGGAGGCCCTGTGATGGCGCAGGCACAAACAACAAGCCGACATTTTTTAGGGTACGACTTAAGCAGGGCGCCCAAAGGCGGTACAAGACGGTAGATAAGATGTGTCGCCCTGTTTCTGTGTTCGTTACAGAAAACGAGGAGGCATACTACGAGTGGGAACGAGGGTTGATACGACGTATGCGAGAGCAGGCACTGAAAAATCCATGTCGTATCAGCACTGAGAATGAAGGGAAACTGATAGTTGGAGAGCTGAGTTTTATTTCACCCCAAGAAAAGGCCTTGATGGTGGGACTGATGAGGAAAAGGCATCGCGCGTACGCCTTCAATGATGATCAGCATGGGAGACTGGATGTGGACAAAATTCCAATGATTCGGATCCACACCGTTCCACACGAACCTTGGAATCTAAGGGGCGCGCAATATCCGAATCCTGACGAGGAGAGGATGGTGGTGGACTACCTAGATGGCAAGATGCGTACGCATGTTGCAGGCTATTCTAGCGGACCGTATGCGTCCCCTTGGTTTAACTTTATTAAGCCAAACGAGACGCTGTGATGGGTACACGACCTGTAGTATAGACCTCTATTCTGGGTATGACAAATTTTTCCTGTATACCCGCCGGATAGGCTGGTAACAGCGATGCACACGCCGAGAGGGCTGATTCATATGAATGTGGTGGCAATGATGCAACGACATATGATCAGAGCCATGCAGACGGTCAGCCCACACATCACTCAGCCTTACATTGATGACTTCGTTGTCAAAGGCCCAAAAAAGAAAGAGGAGGACGAAGTGATGCCCGGAGTAAGGTGTTTTGTCTGGAAGCATATCCGAGACCTCGATCAGGTTCTGAGCCTCCTGGAGGAATACAACCTTACTGCGAGTGATCCAAAAACCAAGAACTGCATGAAAGAAACTACCATTCAGGGTTTTGTCTGTAATGAGAACGGTCGGAGGCCGGATGTAAAGAAGACAAACAAAATCTTAGAGTGGCCAGTACCTTTTCACTCCATAACAGATGTGAGAAACTTTCTTGGCACCTGTGGATTTTGGAGGAGCTTTGTCAAGAACTTTGCCCCCAAGACCGAGCATTTAAGGAAACTGGTGCGTCAGGATCAGGAATGGGTTTGGGGTGAAGATCAGGAAGAGGCGGTGACCCGGATGAAGGGGGAATTCAAGGAAGGAGGGTTAGTATTGGGGGCGCCTAACTATGAAGTGAATGAGGAAAAACCTTTCGTCATCGAGACGGACGCTGGGCCGACTGCCTTGGGAGGAGTCATAATTCAGGCGGATGCTGAAGGAAAGGAGAGGCCGTTAAGATTTGAAAGTCGGACTCTTAATGAGACTGAAAGGAACTACTCTCAGTTTAAAAAGGAGACGCTTGCGGTACTCTATTGCTTAAGGATCTTCTGGAATTATGTTTTCGGCAGGAGGTTCATATTGAGGGTGGATCCCACGACCCTTGCCTGTTCCCTGAAGAAATATACTCTATCTGACCCAACCGTCGCACGATGGTTGACGTACATCTGAATGTTTAACTTTGAATTGGAGAGAACTCTAGGGGACAAGAACAGGGCCGATGACTTGAGTCGCATTAACTGGGATAAATTGGATCAGGAGTCGACTGAAGATACTCCATCAGTTGATTAGTTTTTTTACCAGGAAGAGGACGTTCGACTCCATATAAACAAGTGGTTCTTGCGAGTGCCCAACTGTGTCAGCCACCCCATATGGATAGCGCCTAGAGGATATTAGCAAGAGGCGGATCTAGTCCTGAAACCGTTTCAGGAGGAGGACCCATGGGGAGGCAAGGATGCTCACTGGATGATGAAATTGGCGTTGGCAGGTACGCATAGTTTGGCGGAAGAAGTATGGACAATAGAGGAGGACCCTACTCAAGTAGAGGAGCATGAGCAGTTGATGGGAGGGATGTATCTGCTCATGAATACGCTTCTGCATAGTCTTTCTAGGTTAGAAAGGCGACCAAACAACGTAGGAGTCACTAAACTTTTCTTATTTGTACTCAATCATATACAAACCGCCCTACATTCTCATTTTCTTCCTATGCCTATTTCCTTTTTCAGTCTCATACCCGGATGTCGTTCCACCAGGGACAACGGTAGGTTTCCATTATCCCCGGCAACGGCGCCACCTTTCGGGCGCATCGGTCCAGCACCGCACAGGGCAGCGCGGGATCCTCCCGATCTCGTCACACAGGAGTTGGTCTAATTCCTCGTCGCGAATATACATGGAGCTTCAGCAAGCCGCTCCGACCGAGTGCGCCAGCCATACCTCTCGCGAGCCCCTACGACAGGATAGGGCCTACTTGAGGCACGACTTACCTCCACCTTACAGAAGTTGTCACCTCCCTTCGGTGGGCGTATCCCCGCCGAGCTACCAGTCCACAGTACGAAAGCTACTCGGTTGCAATCGCATAGGTGGACCAGTCGAGGGCGTTTCTCATTCGCTATAACATAGGGGGTACGCGCGGTATTACGCCTATCAGACCCGCACGTGAATCGACATCTTGGGGGGCTGAAGTCCCAAGCGCGACTCGACGTCGGTCGACTAGGACGAATCCCACTCACCACACACACACCACTGTACCAGACACAAAAAATAAAACACACATACGTACGCACATATATACAAACGACAATGAACAAACAACACGACAACACTCCTAGTCCCTTTAGTAGTCATCCCATAAGTTTCTGATGTGGAAATCAGATGGGCGTCGCGCGCCAGACTTAGTATAAAACCGCGCGGATACAAGGCCTACTCATATCGACTAGCAATGCAATCATCCGCAAGCAGTCGCAATGATAGCGTACTATGTAGTACCCATACTCATGCGGTCCTCGTTAATCTCAAGGGTCGCATTCGACACTCAAGTGTCGGCTGACACTCGCCTTGAGGGTTAATCTTTTGAGGCTGGACAACCGCCAAGTGTGGTTGAGAACCACACCCTCTTCTGCACCCTGCGGAGAGTGGGTGGTACACAGGTTCGTACCTGTGGTGGCAATCGTCTCTTATGGCCCTGGAGACCAGCTCCTTCCCCTAGGGCCTGGAGATAAGTCAAGGGGTTTGACTTTGACGGTTGCCACGGACTACAACGTCAAACTATAATAACTCTAAAAAACAAAAATAGGTCGAAGGCCTCCCTATCCCAAAATCACAACCTTGGGTAGCATTTTCGGTTGGCACCAACGATCTATACTGATTTTGGACACACATGTATACGTACCAATCCCTTGATCCCATAACTCTAGACACTAGGGCAGACGAACGTCGCGCGCAAGATTTTGATATAAAGTTGCGCGGTTGCAAGTCCTTCCAACATCAACCGGCAATGCTAATCATACACGACAATCGCAGTTTCGGCCTCGCGATATTCAATGGTTGAAGGAATGTATCATGAGGGGTTACCCTTTACGATATTGAACGGCTGAAGGACATGTCGTTCAACCCTCGCGACATTTCTGGCCTCAGGGTTGGGTGTCTCGACGGGTAGGGCAGATAGGCTCTGCACAGGGGAATATTCCTTCCCTGCAGAGTCTAGGGCCTGGGATGTCCTGGACAAGGACCTCGAATCCAGGCCCAACACTAACGTCCGACTAAGAAATCCCTAAGAAGCATACAACAATGTAGAGGGGTTTTTCTTTCTTTCCTCGATCCCAATCCCAATTTTTATCTATAACCATGACTCACTCAGGCCACGCGAACACCCTACATAAATACACATATATAT